GGGGGCCTTCTTCCTCAAAGGACAGCACAACAGAACGATAACAATAACTTTGCTGTAATCCAACATGGAAATGTTAACCTGACCCGTGAAAGCAGCACATCTCCTTCCCGCAAGCGTCGCCATAACGTACGCGAGTGAGTAGCTCTTCCTACGGGGACCTCAAGCTGCTGTCTGCTTTGGCGATACGTGGCGATACGTGCTCAGCTGTGAGGTTGACAGTCGCAGCGGCGGGCGCAACTTACTTGAAACCGCGCGTCTTTTTTGGCGTTGTCAGAGTGGCTGTCGCCACGTGGCGTGTTCGCCAGCGCGCCTCGGATCTGAAAGCTGTTTTAACGGGGGGCCTGTGGCGAGGGCACCACGCCGCTGTGCTGTAAAAAAAAAAAAAAAAAACCTCCCTCCCTCGCATTAGAAACTTACCAGACTGCACCCCAACAAAAAGCGGCGGCTTCAAATCACATTAGAGCCCAGCCCTGCACGGCAGAATCAACCGCCGTCCGGCTTACTGGCTAGCCGCCGTTAGGGAGTAGCCTGGCTGGTACACTTACCGCGTTCAGCGGTACTACAGCTATTTATCACGTACCCTCAGGAAACATGAGAGGGGCCGCGTGCTGGGGAGGTTGTTGTTGTGTCTCGCCTTGTTTCCCCTGCTCAAGGTCGGCTGAACACAGATGTGCATAATGTTGATGACGGTAACTGATAGGCGCTGATGATTACACCCCGAAGCGGTCGGTAACTGACGGCAGGGAGGGAGGGAGGACAGATTAGGCTGTCAAAGCGCGTGGCGGGTTGAAGACGACAAAACAATTAAGAATTTAGGTTCATGTATAGTACATCGGGCGCGTTACGCTGTCGAGCGCCAGTGTAGTTCACACGCATGCGTACAGACGGAGACACATGCGCGCGTGCACACGAACACACGCACACACACACGTACACACAGAGACCACTCTCACACACACACGCACACGCTCACGCCCCCCCCCCCCCCCCCCCACACACACACACACACAGACACTACTAGACTAATACACATACACACACACACACAGACACTACTAGACTAATACACATACACACACACACAGACAAACAACACATGCACACACACGTACACACAGAGACACTCTCACACACACACACACACACACGCTCACCCCCCCCCCCCCCCCACACACACACACACATTACTAGACTAATACACACACACACACAGACAAACAACACACGCACACACACACACACACAGACAAACACACTCAGAGACAAACAGCACACACACACAGACAAAAACACACACACACACACACTCCGAAACAAACGGCACACACACAAACAACACCCGCACACACACACACACACAGAGACAAAACACACACACACACACACACTCCGAGACAAACAACACACGCACACAGACAGACAAACAACAAACACACACACACACACAAACAACAAACACACACACTCCGAGACAAACAACACACGCACACACACAGACAAACAACAAACACACACACACACAAACACAAACCCAGTCCACCCTACAACAGCGTCCCTCTCCAAGAGGTCATCGTCCAAAATAATGACGATGTTCGACACGGATGTTCACAGATGTCGGACAGGCGTAAACAAACTAAAGTCAACATCCGCCGTCAATAATGCACGACGATCAACCGACTGCATAATACATGATGCCTAAATAATTGATTCACACCTGCGCGTCATCCGCATCTTTCAGTCCCGCTGCATCTGAGAGACGGAGAATCGTCAACACGATCAACGAGGCACCCAGGGGCTTTTTCAACCTGGACCCTAAGTTGCCGTCGTTTTGTGTCTCGGGGACAAACGCGGACAACATTTTGGGAAATTGGTCCAGTATTGCGCGAGAGGGCTTCAGCCGTCTGATGAGGAGGAGGAGGAGGAGGATGATGAACACCCTGACCCTCACTCACCAAAGCTAAATATTTAATATAAAAACATTTAATCAAAGTGTACTTGAGAGGAACGACCTATCTTTCGCAAAAAAACGTCACTATTGTTCTTCCTGTCGCCCACAGGCAGGGGACATTATGATCTGTGGTATTTATGCCACCAATGCAGCAGTGCAGGTGGGAACAACCGGACCCATAAGAGCACTGCGAGCAAATGTCAGATGTTGCACATGGACTGAGGGAAAACAAGGGAATTGAAGATCCAGCCAGTGGCCACTTTCAACTCTTTAGCATTTCCCCGGTGGTACCTCTACAGTTAACGTCCTTACAATGCACCACACACCTGACCTTAACAATGGGAAGCTACTACATTTTTTTTGTAGCCGTTTGCTATTTTTAAGCTCACTAGGGTAGCACACACACAAGTAAGCATGCACGCACACATGCACGCACACATGCACGCACACACACACACACACACACACACGGCCAGCTGTTCTTGAATGCCACAGAATGTCTCGCCCTTAGCTTTCTGGGGAGAACATTATAATGCTGTGTCACACACTGTTAGCACTTCTGTCCATAACCACGGCAACCTAAGGCACAAACATATGGTGTGTATGACACCCCACAGCACCATATACACATGCATACAGAAACACACACACACATACGCACGCACACACACACACACACACACACAGAAAAACATAAACACATTAATGCACACACACACACACACAGTGAAGTGCGTCATCAACAGGTTTGAGTCCAGTACGAGCTGCGACTCTATTTGAGGCATGAATGCAAACAAATTTCCAGACTCCCTTCTTGTTCTGTAATGTCATTGAGATCCCATCTGTCTGCCTTAACTCACCCAAGCTGTTCCTTGAATATGAGCTAAATGTAACCTTTAATACTAAATGAGTGGCATTTAGTAGAAGCTTTAGTCATCATATTATTATATACATTTTAAGCTCCTGCCATATGTGTTTCTCTATTAAACATCCATGTCAGTGAAGTGTCTTGTGCCAGGCAGAGTTGCATGCAAGTGTATCTCTTTTAGGTTTGGTTTTTAAAGAAGAAAATGAGTTAAAAAAACATGAATTGTGTACACTTACTATATATGATTATTTCAAGTCGGGTTATAGTACAAGATTCAGCGCAACTTAAATTAAAAACTGCTTTTGGTGCTTCAGATCCCTGATGCTGAAAAGTTACCTGTGCCACTTTAAAATGTGACAGTTGGAAAATGTAGAAAGCAGTGAAATAACTTGTGGAGCTCACCAAAAGCGTAGCGAAAGGATTTGCACCGCCGTTATGGGACCGCATAATTAGTTAGCCATAGTTAATATGAGACTTCCCGATTCACGATTTCTATAGCGGCTCCAACATTCCCCTGTGGTTTTCCATATGCTTCTGACGAAAAAAGATTACATTGCAGCCGATCGAAATGGGAACACGCTTCATTACCGTAGACCATCAGAGGCCCTTTAACAGAAATGTTTTCCTCCGTCCCTCTGCGCTCGTCAACATACTCCACCAACCCTGCTGGCTCTCAGTTAAAAGCACTGAAGTTAAAGACCGCTTCAATGTCTTCTGTGTCGTAATGAAGTGCTTCAGACATATTTTAATTACGCTCTCCTGGGGTTGGTGGTTGTTGACGCCGGGTTTCATCTCGATGTTCTCGATAAGGCTCTTAGTATTTCATTTTATTTCGCATGGCCCTTCAGTGATGTGCAATTAGCTAAAAAAATGGACAAATTGGATTTAGGGTGATGTATAACAAAGAATTGGCCAGAAGAATGAATTGTTGTCCAAGCAATAGCCAGTGTTTTTATTTTTGGTTTTAAGCAAATAACATCTTGATGAAACAACTTGAAACAATGAAGCAAGACTATGGCAGATGAATGGGGCCCACAAACTTATTACATTTCTTGTTTCTGCCAGTACACTAGTCTTGCTTGATCATATCCATAACAATGTGACAATGAAGTGTTTATAAATAGAAAAAAATGCGACGTGAAAATAGCTCGAAAAACCTTTCAAAATCATCAGTGCGACTACATTTGCGCCTTTTGCATTTGTCATACGTGTTTTTAAAAGGGGTTGATATGTTGACGTGCTCTCTCTGTCTCTGTCTCTCTCTCTCTCTCTCTCTCTCTCTCCCCCCCCCCCTTCTGGTACACAGTGTGTCAATCTCCCCTCCGCCCCACTCCTCCCTGCGTCTCTCTCGTGTGATATATCCCCCATGAGGACTTTCAAAGCCATCAGTGGGGAACAAAGTGGAAGGCGCCATTTGAATTTCAAAGGCCTGACAGAGCGAATTGTGCGTACGGAGCGGACAAAAAGGTCCTCTTGTCAGGACGACGTGCCGTCTCTGGAATTATTCATCGACGCCGAGCCTCGGTCTCCTGCTGGATGGTTTAACTGTTGGGGGGGGGGGGGGGGGGGGGGGGGGGGGTCATGAAAGACTTCATTAAAACAGGATGAATCCGACAAGCCGAGCACGTGTCCCTTTCGGAGGAGTAGGAGGACGTGTTTTTTGGGTTTTTTTTTATCTACCGACATGCCCCACCCCCCCCCCCCCCCCCCTGCTGTTGTTGTTTTGCTGAAACAAATCTTTTTAGTTGAGTCATTTTCAGCGCACCCCGGGGATGTGCTGATGGCGGGTACAATGACCCATAAAAAAACACAAATATTGCGGCCTGTTGCCGGTGCCGATAGCGCCGGCGTCCGCAAGACCCCGGCTCCCCGAGCCAGAACTCGCCAGACAGCTTCCAGATGCCATCACTGTGAACTAATTAGCCGTCACTAATGTCAGCTTGCAGTTGCGGCTTCCATTTTTACACATTTTGATTTACACAGCCCTTTCACCACGTCATTTCCATGGCGACAAGGACTTTTCTTTTTGTGTCGGGTGCACTAAATGTTATAAAATGGCTATTTAGTGAACAAGAGAAAGCCTGTTGATTGCTCAAACCGTATTTTATTTTCATCTGTTGTCAGCAACTCTGCTAATGTGTGTGTATAGTCACTGGGCCATAGTGCACACTCTCTAGTCCTGTCTAGCTCACCTGCTAGAGCATGGCATTAACACTGCCAGGGTTAGGGGTTCGATTCCCACTGGGGGCCACCCATGCTAAGAAATGTATGTACTCGCAGTGTTACAAGTCATTTTGGATGAAAGCATCCACCAAATCTATATAAATACTCATAACAGCACATTCTGCTTTTTGGACGGCTCTCAAAGTCTGTGACAGTCAAGTCCCTAACAAGACCATTATGAAATACAAATGACCGCAAACAAAGCTGAGCAGTTTTTAGTCCCTTTTACTAAGAGATGCGGCAAAACAGCCTCAGCATTCATTTGTTTATATTTGCTTCCACATTATGTGGTCCCTGAGTAGAGTCGGTTCACTTGTTTATGAAATAAAACTCGGCTTGCAGTGCTGTACACAAGCTGGTGGACTGCAGAGAAAGCGCTCTGTATTCATAGACAGCTCTCTATTATTTATAATGTGATGATGCTGTGGGTCTCCACTGGAACATTGTGATTGCATAACTGGGATCATTATGAGGCCATGTATAAGCAAAACATGTTATAACCATAGAATGTAAAAACAATATGGACGTAGCGTCTGTGATGTCACCCATTGGTTTACACCAGATTTCACGTTATGGCATAACATCATTTTTTGAGATTTTTGCAACAGTTGAAACGATCCATGTTTTGCACATTGTGGGCAGGAATTGAATAGCAGCCTTGCAGTAGTCTATGGCCAAAACTCATTAATATTCAATCCTTAATAACTTTTTAATGAAATAATAAAACTGTAAAACGGGACCTCTCTAAATACATGATATGGAGATGAACTAGCCACTGAAATCCTAACCGAACGAATAAAAAATGTATTCGCTTTATATTACGATAATTAAATCACAATTTTCCCATTGACTTAGAAGGGTGACTGGTCTTTTTGCATTGAACCACTGCAAACCTATAGGCCATTAGAGGAACCAGAGAGAACTAGGGCTTCACAAACAGGCGGTCATGGCTGCCGCTTGGTTACTTATAACATATAAAGAAGGGACCAAGAAATAATGACTCTCCTTTACCTTTCTGTCTGTCTGTCTGTCTGTCTGTCTGTCTCTCTCGCCCTCCCTCCCTCCCTCCCTCCCTCGGGTATACAAAACATGTTGGCATGTTTGTATCTCTTTGTATAGACTGCGTGACTGTGAGTGTGTGCATGCATGTGTTTATTAGCAGTGTTCCCCTATTATCAAATGATTAAAAATCTGCATTTCGCTGCTAACTTAAATGACCATTCATTGACTCAAAGCAGTCAGCCATCTAGCATGCAAGGTCATCCCAAAGCCTTCTGGGAAGGTGAAGAACAACAACCATCACTTCATCCATCAATATACCATCTCCAACACTGTCTACAGTCAGTGTGCAGCGGGCGAATGGACCTGGATCTTTATTTTTGGATCGTGTTTTGAAAAGTCAGATATGTGTTTGCTGTCTTTGGCTTTTCCGATCTGTACACCAAAATAAGACTAACACATTTTTTGTAATAATCTAGCACAATGGCAAGACTCATGATAGAAGAGTAAACAGACATGCGCCACCCAGCTAAGTTAAGTGCTGATAATGGGTTGAGATATCTGATGTACCCCATGGGGGGGATTGTATAGTGCTCCCTGTTGTCAAATGTTGTTATGCTGTAGCTGATGTATGTCATGCTTTAAGTCCTACAGCAGGGAGCACCTTAAAAGCGTGGAACCATACCGTCAAACTAAAGTATTACCATTTCATGCAATAAATGGTTCAATCTATGACATGGGTGATTTCTGACAGAAGAAATTCGATTGGCCAAAAGTTCAGCGCCACTTGAAACAAATAAGTAATGGTATAAAATATAATAACAAGTAATGCATTTACTTTCCTGGCACCGTCTGTTCACATGATGCAGCTTGTTTAGCAGCCTATAGGCCTACATGTCTGATCAGAAACCACCGAACATTATAAACACTGATCAAAGATCAAATCAAGAGCCAGATAAAGGAAAGGGCCAGGCGGCCATTCAAAATAAAATCAACCTTCTTTTACTGCTGCTTTTACTGAGGCCAATGGGGCCGTGACCTTGGAGACCTCCAATCAAGAGCCGTGAGGGCCCTCTGTCTCCACTCCAGCCCTGGCTTCAGTACCCATTAGCTCCTGTTATCCACCCAGGAAGCCAGTGAGTGGGTTAGCCCGGCTAAGTGTTCCCCCGCTTCCTCACCCCTGGCTGGGGATGGAGACACACACACACACACACACACACACAGGATCCAATGAGCGTGATCCATGCAGTGTCAGTCGTATGTAAAGCCACGAATGTATTCCCAACGGAAACAAAACCAACATCAAACACTTTTTGTTTCCGTTCAACGTTGCCTCCTCACAGTTCCTGAAACCCTCCAACAACATTACGTGAGAGACACTAGAGATGCACTGTGATGGCGGGACAGAAACTAGGTCACACCAAGAGGACGGGGCAGGAGATGCCGCCTGGCGCCCCAGGTAAGGACGGACGGACAGCTACCTGGCCCCAGGTAGGCCCCAGCAGACAGCTAACCATATTGATTTTCACCGAGTTTTCACCGCCATCCTTTAATCTAATCTGTTCCGCGATGTTCGCCGCCTCGGGCGCCGAAACCACCTTCTGTCAGTCCTTGAGGAAAGTTTGGGCTGAACATGAAGTGACACACCCAGGAGCACGCACACACACACACACAGGCAGGAACGCACAAATGAAGACACACACGCACTAACAAAGGAAAGTATGTAAAAACTAATTTTCCGTATAAAAATGAGTTGATGAATTGGTAGCGGAGGGAATTGATGCGTTCTAAATAGTTTTCCTCTAGAGAAATGTGTTGGGCTGAAGTAAACAGGGAATGTAATTAAGTAAGTGTGTCAACAGATAAATCCACTTTGAGAAACCAGATGAGCCTATATCAACGAAGCCCTGATGTTACCGCGGGCTGCAGATAATATCTGTGCTCATTGACCATATAATTACTGTCTTTCATTATTACTTTATCTTCTGTTTTCTTCACCTATGTAATCATCGCAGCTTATGGTGCGCACACAGAGACAATTAGGGGCTCAAGGACTGCTTTGGATAAAAGCATGTGGATAAGGACGACTAGTAAACATTAGATTTAATAGAATCACAAATAAAATAACCACTTGTGAAGGACCAGTAGCAGTTCAGCTATCTGTACTGAACAGTTTAGATGCATACTACAGTACTACCAAACAGGTGAATAGTACACAATACATGAGCTAAACCGTCCACCCGCTCTCCTTCCGAGTGCGGACTCATCTCAGTCTCTCATCTCCATTTTAAAAGACAGTCGATTTCTTTGTCCTTTGTGGGCCGCAGTGGCTCAGGAGGTAGAGCGGTATGTCTGGCAACCGGAAGGTTGCTGGTTTGATCCCCTGCTCCTCCTAGCCGAGTGTTGTGTTGTCCCTGAGCAAGACACCGAAACCTAACTGCTCCGGACGACCTGGCTGGTGCCTTGCATGGCTGACATCGATCGCTGCCGGTGTAGGAATGTTTATGTGAATGTGAGGCAAAAATTGTAAAGCGCTTTGATGAGTGGCCACTGGTTTGAAAAGTGCTCTATAATTGCAATTTACCATTGTCCACAACTTATCTTTTTCCTTGTTTGCACTTCACCTTTCTTGTTCAAACCAAACACAGAAACGTCACAGTCTGCCTCCTCCCACCCCAAGTTGAAGCAGGCAGAATGCATCTCATCATGATTAAGATGCCACTGAGCTATTCAACCTGGGGTGGCGGTGGGGGTGGGGGGGGGGGGGGGGGGGGGGTAGTAGGGGTGGTGGTGGTGGTGGTGGGTGGGGGAGATGGAGAGATGAGCTAAAGACGAGACTGAGGCATCCCCAGACTGTGGAGTAGACAGGCTCATGCTGTCAAGGAGATGGGGCGACCCCTGTTGCTCCCAAACACTGAATCCCATTGGTCACAGGATTATGCATGGAGGAGGGTGGGGGGGGAGGTAATTAATACGACTTGTGGTGGTAGAAAATCGAGTAAGGCGATTACAGAACACAATTGGCGTAGTCAACCTGGGAATACGGTGCGCGGTTGCAGGCGGCGCTTTGCAACAGCGTCGTTGTTGTCTTTTTTTAAGGTGGTGGCAGGTGAGGCATCACAAACTCGCGTCAGATTGATGGCTGATATGTCATAGACGCCGCAGTGGTGGTTGTCACCAAGCAACGGGAAGTGACTGACAACTGTTATCTGCTGAGAGCTTCAGGAAAATGTGCCTTTAGATTATAAGTGACGGTCTCGCGACCAGGTTGATGTTATCTGATGACTGCCCTCCACTGGGGATTGTGTTGGTGATGTCACTGCTTTGTCTGCAAGCAAACACACACACACACACACACATCTACACATCGTGTAGACATCAGCACACACTTACACTGTATTTACCTTAGACAGGCACTCATAGAAAGACACTCACTCTCACACACACACACACACACACACACACACACCAAGTGTGTGTGTCTGCCATCTCTTTGTTCTGCTTGCCTCAGCACTGTGGATTTTCAAGGAGACCCAGTCAAACTCTGTCTCCACGGAGAACTTTTACCCACAATGCCCCATGGGGTAAACATCCGGCGGGCCCCTTTTCATCCTTTCCCAGGCACGTAGCGGGGGTTGCGACGCAGCAGAGTCCACAGCGGACCTCTGGATCTGACCAGAGGCCTGGTAGACTCCTGCTTTTCAAAGACACGGCGTCCCTCATGGCTCTCGCCTGGGTACCCTGAGTAATGTGTACTACTGGTAATGAGTGATGCAAAGCTATAATCTGCACCAGGGAACACAGTGCTTTTAAAAGTAGAGCTTTACTGAGGTTGACTCATAGTCATGTGCTTCACACGACTCTTAGAGGTAATTTGTAGGTTTTAGTCACAGCGGATACTTTTTTGTAAGGCAGTGTCTGTTATATGTGTTTTTGAGAATGCCAGAACATCTGAAAAAGTCTCCCATCGGGACTCTGTGACGATGGAAAGAATTGAGTTCACCAAATGTATTTATGCAGGGCGTGAAG